TGTCTTCCTGAGGTGTTCCAATTCAGGGCACCACCATGTGTTGGTTGTGCCATGCGTTTGAACCATCCTCATTGGACAGGATTCCTTATAGGCAGTGTCTATTTTGTTGTGGATAGATACTGTGTACCTTTCCAGTTCTTCATTGTTGCCAGGAGTCAGGACCTCTGTTTCCCGCAGAGCTCCTCTTAAGAGTCGATTGTAGAGAGCTACATCCGTCCTCTTCGGGTCACGGGATTTTACAGTAGTCCTGAAATCCTGGCTTATCGTATAGGTCAGCCAGCGGTGGTCTGACATAGAGATATGGTCCGAGACTTGCCAGTCTTGGATTTTGTTTGATATTTCGGCTGTCGTGAGCGTGATATCTATTAACGTTTGGCTACATCGACGATATATTTCAAAAAGTTGAAATGAGTTATTCCAGACATCCTTATGTAAAGCTAATATAAATGAAAGGTGACATGTATTAAATATGTTTTATAATGTTATTATATCACAGTTCTAGGCAGTTTTCAATCATCCTACTGATGAAATGAAAGTACAAGACTAGTAAAAACTGACAAATCAAAAATAATAATGATTTCCATTTTCATGACAAATCATTATTCATTCGGAAATATTTTCTAACACTCCTCGTGGATTAATAATCTCCATTAATTTCCAATGGTTTTTCAATATCGGCGCATGAACACTTTCAGTTAGACAGATAAGTTCATGTTAGATGGAACATATTTCAGGACAATTTTCTGTTCTATTGAATCACAAACATTGATCAGTTTCAAATTGATATGTTTTGATCGTTCTGATATAGCCCGTTCTGCTAGTTTCATAGTTCCTTGACTATCTATATAAATTCCGAACTTTGTTCCACAGTAAACTTTTTGATTAATTTCTTCTGATAACTTCTATAAAAATATGAAATCTTCTGCCGCTTCACTAAGAGCAATAAACTTCGATTCATATGTGCTCAAATGTACACACTTCTGTTTTCTACTGGGCCTCCTCCAAGAATAAAGATATATCCACTAAATAACTCGGTCCATCTAATTTACTCCCTACTCTGCATCGGGATAGTCGATCGACGTATTCTCAAACGCCACTAAAAGTGGCGTTTAGGTATCATAGAATGTGCGTCATTCCTTTCCAGTGATGCTTACACGGAATTTGGTAACATTGGCTCGTGATTATGGCAGCAAATGCTAAATCTATTCTTGTTGAGGTTGCCAAATAGAATAGACTCCCAATGACCTTTTGATACAATTTTCTTTATAATTCGTCCAGATTATTTTCTTCGTATTTGTCAACTTTTCTCCTACGGGCAACGGAGTGTAAACTTTTCTTAGTCCTAATATATTTATCTCTCAGAAGTTCAATGGAAAAATTATCTTGATCAAGTTTAATTATCTCTTGATTTTGTGTGATTCGAATGGATAAAACATGTTTAACTTCTTTCAAATCTTTTATTATATCAAATCGTTGTCTAAAAATCTTCATTTGTTCAATATAATTTCATTCTCCGAATAATAAAATGTCGTCAACATACGTCCATAATATAAGTTCCTCTTCTCTTCTGTAATACACCCATGGATCTGATACTGAACGAATAAAATTAACTTCTTTTGAATGGATCTACGTCATATCGAGCAAGAATATCCACTTATACATCTTTATTTGAATCCACTGATAAATAAGATGCAGTTAGATCTATAGCTGGTATAGTGTAGTTATATCAAATATTTGAAACACAATCTTTTAGAGTACATAAAATCAATAAATGTAAGAATTGAATCTTTTCCTCTTCTGAATCTGTTTTCTGATGTGGAAATTGGTGGTTAGTTTATGCTTGGCATCTTAATCACGTAAACGTGAGATTTCGTCGTGTGGTTCAGGCTTAAATTTCGAAATTGGGGAATTATTCCCAGTTGCTGTGATGGAACATCAGTTTCTCACATATTATAGTGTCGCAACAGCTTCTCTCCAAAATTCATCCGGTAATGCACCTCACTGCATCACATAATGTTTTGTTTGGTTTTTCAGCGACACTGTCGCTGAGGAGTTCCAGGAAACGTGAGCTGCTGATTGATTCCATTCTTCTTCAAATAATTATTCGATAAATATTATCTTCTATTATCATTTCTCATAGAAACTATTTTTCTACTCTTAAGATTTTTCACATGATTTTTATATTCAGTAAACTTTTTGAATACTTCGTCATTTCTCTTCATCATCTCAACTTCTCGGTAACGGGAGTAATCAATAATAAACGTTACCACATGTAAATTTCCACCAATTGACAACGGTTTCACAGATCCCATTACGTCTGTATGAATTAATTCCAAAAGATTTGACGATCATGTCAAACTTTTCTTTGGAAATGAGTTTCTCTTGAGTTTTTCTTCAATGGATACTGGACATATTTTATTCGATCCAATATCTAAAATCCATGCCTTTGAAATCATCTTGTTTCGCCAGTTGGAGTATTGATGAAATTTTGTTTGTAGCACTAAAAAATCTGTTTAAAAAAAATCTGTATTTAGTATGAATTTGTTTCGCAGTTTTATTTTGCAGTTTTGTACTCCATAATGTCGTTTAAGCTATTGTTATTCAGTAGAAGATACAGAATGGATTTGGCGCGAATTATCTCACCACCTAGGACAATCCCGCTGATCTAGCAGTACCACCACCCTGTTCCAGATGCTGACAAGACAGTTCTCACAGGAGCGCACATCTTCGAAGCTTCGCATCCAGAATCAGTCAGATTTCATTCCTCAAAGCAACAACACGTATAATTTCATTTATTTTGTACTTCTGTGATTTTTCATTTTCAAGTTTGTAACAATAAAAGTATTTTTCAAAAAGCAAGTTCAGTGCCGTCGATAGTTAATTCGCGTTAATCACTTAATTTCCTTGTTTTCTACTATTTTCAGTTTATCATCAGTGAAGCCTAAATCAATTGCCTGCCATATATTTTGACCTCTGAGGTCCCTTGCGCTCTTATAGACCAACGTCTGTAGTTGTCCGAATTCAGCTTTTCAATTTTGAAATCCTTCATAGTCATGTATTACTTGTAAAATGTCATACTTCTACTTTCATGGCTGCGTTGTTGATTTCTTCTGATTCCTTATATATAAGCTGGAGCCCGTAACCTGTCATTATATTAGAGTTCTAGGCAGGTTTTAGTTGTCGTACTGATGAAATCAAGAAGAAATACTAATGACTTTCATTGAAAGTACAGAACTAGTAAAAAGTAACTAATCCAAAATGAATAATAATGTATTTCATTTCATTAAAACGATGACAAACAATCATTCTGAAATATCTTCCAACACTGCGATTACATGAATAATCCGATTTGTAATGAAGTTCAAATATTTCAACTTCTTTGGGGCATTTGTGTCTGTCGTATACGTACATTTTATATAGGGCGACCGTTGGTTAACAGAAGACACCATTTTAAAAACAATTACTCAAACTATTTGAAATACGATTTTTTCCATCAAGGAAACTGAATAAAGAAAAACGTTGTATTCTTGTTCACATATAAGATGCTTTTCGTTTACAAGAAAGCTAACCACGGTGGATTACAATAAAAACCAGAAAGTTCACGAGTCCAAAAAAAATTCTTCACAGAAGTGATATCTATTTTCATCAACATATAAAACATTGTTTATAGTTAAGGCAATTGCGTTTCTTCAATGATGTTTAATGTGAATTCATAGGTGTATTCATTTATTGGTCGAATTGAAATATATTTAATTGCCATTGGTTGACCAAAAATGCTCATTAAAAGTAATATTAGATTAGAAACTAACTAAAATCGTGGTTTTGTACTGCTCTCATATTTATGAAACATCGTTTAGAGAAAATTGATGAATCAAACATCAACTAAGTCACCAGCATATATTGTACGGTCATCAAATACCAGTACTGTCATATTGAATTTGAAAAGAGTAAATAATGAAAACGTAGAGACATTTAAATGTTCTAACTTGGCTCCATATTAAAAATCTTAACTTCAATGACGAAGTTTTGAATTAACTATTAGATTGATTCATCTAATCTATCGGTGAACAAATTAGTCTGTCGCTGCATAATGATTCGGTATCAATCGATTTGCTTTTGCGATTTGCTAACAACTGACATTGCAAGAATAAAAAAAGTTCCTTAATTCTCAAGTTCAGTAACTTCAATTTCTAGAACGACCCACAAATTTATTGTATAGATGTTTATAGAGACTAATGACCATAGTTGCCGAAACTGCCGAGTAAATAAAAGAAAACTAATTGTTAAATGTACAAGTTAACTGATTAACATTCAACATTATACCGGTTATCAATTGTCAACTATGAAATTTTGCCAAGAGTCAAGTTAGTTTTTTTTTATGTTTATTGCATTTTTTCAGTCGAACAATAATGTTGATTATATCCTTCGAATGGACCAATGAATGAATTTCCCAATGAATGCGTGTGAGACAGTGGCGAATTGAATCACCAAGTGTTCTTTTATCATTGCTAAAAAACTCATTCATCATGCTCATGACTTTTGGAACTCACTGTTTGCCTCTTTTGTCTGCTGCTAGCTGTCACTCTCATTTGTCAATATATCAAAACAATATTCATGTTTTCAACATTTTAATTTGGTATTTTTAATTGTTAAACTACTAGAGAATGCAATAATCGGTATATTACATGTACTTTAATATAAGTACCAGTCGATTCAAAATCAACATGGTTATTTTACAATTAGAAGAACAGGTGAGGTGAGGAGAGTTGTTATAGGTTAAGGTTTTGATAAATATAATTTTTAGCCAGCTATAATTCAAGCTATTTTTGCTGGAGTCATAGATGAAGTTCATGAACTCATAGAAAATAAACAGGATATCAATTGTCTTGGTACGTATCATCATACTAATTTATTTTAATTTACCATTTTAATGGTTTTAGATTGTGAAAAACGAACACCACTTCATGCAGCTGCTTTCAAAGGAGAAGTAGACATAACTAACGTTTTATTGCAAAATGGTGCTAGAGTCAATGCTAAAGATAGTAAATGGGTTACTCCCTTGCACCGAGCTTGCTCTGTTGGTGCTGAAGAAGTGGTGGCTTTACTTTTGTGTTACCAAGCAGATGTTGGTGCTAGAGACAGACTCTGGCAGACACCATTGCATATTGCTGCTGCTAATGGCTCATATTCTTGTATAGAGCAGCTTTTAAATCATGTTCCAAATTTAAATGTTACTGACAGATCGGGAAGGACAGCTTTACATCATGCCTCATATAATGGTCATACTGATGTAGTTGAACTTCTCCTTTCTCGTGGGGCCATGGTAAATGCTTGTGACAAAAAAGACTGCAGGTTAGTAACTTCATAAATTAACTGCATTATCAATTAATTGAAGTCATTTTGCTACCTGATTTTCAAGGCCTCTACATTGTGCTGTGCAGATGGCCCATGATGACACCATTGAGATTTTATTGAAGTTTGGCGCAGATATCAATGCCAAAGATCGAAACCAGTATACACCTCTACATGTCGTTTCTGCCAGTGGTGAGTTTGACTATATACATATAAAAATGGTAAATATTTGTATTTAGGGCTCGCGCTGGTAATTGAAAAAGTATTAATACATGAATTGAAGGGGTTATATTTTTAGGAGTGATCAATTTTTTTGGGAAAGAAAGTTTTTGGCTTTCTACTACTCCATCTGATACAATTTAGTAAGAAATTTAGAAAGCCAAAAACTTTTTTTCTCAAAAAAAATATTAATACATGTTTTCATCCGCTGATTAGAATAATGTATTGCTTGCAACCATAAAATTGCCAGTTTGCAATTGGGGATTGCAACTGTTGCAGTTTTGTGACCATAATGTAACAAAAAATTAATTACAATCTAAAAATAGGTTCCTGTTACAAATTGAATACCAGTTATGTATGTTTGATATATTTTTGATAACTTGATTTTTCTTACAGTACAGAAATCATAATTATCACAAGAGAGTGTTGTAAAAAGTGATTGTTTTGTCTTCAAACATTAATGCTAAGTAAAATTTTTAAAATTTGGCAAATACTTTTCATTTATTGACTTGACAATAAATGAAATGGTGAAAAAGAAATTTTGAAATTTTTTTAAAAACATTTATAATGGGTGAATAAATCATGAAGAGAAAGTGTCATTTTACCAGCTTTTATTACCAGAAATTTGACTGTCTCTGAAAGTTGGCTGGAACTCCAAGTTTTGAATTCTGTTTCGTGATCAGCGGAAAAAAATAAGTTGTTTAATTTTTTTCAGAAACTAGCACAAGTCATTAATGTTTATATTCGACAACTAGTTCATGAATTTTGTAGGTATTGATTCCATTTGTAAACTACTATTGAATGCCGGAGCTGATGTAGATGCTCAAAATGTTTATGGCAATACTCCATTGCATATAGCTTGTCTAAATGGACGGTTGACAGTGGCTCAAGATTTAGTGGTTGGTGGTGCGAATTTGGAATCAATTAATTTCAGGGGACAAACACCGTTACATATAGCAGCAGCCAGTGTAGATGGGGTTGAATGTCTCATGTTTTTATTGAGACAAAATATTGACTTAAACAAACAAAGTTCAGATGGCAGAACACCATTACACATGACAGCAATCCATGGTCGATTTACAAGAAGTAAAACTCTCATGGACAATGGTTAGTTTTTGATGTTTCTGGTTTTTCAATCAATATGGTAGTTTAGGGACTCTTAAGCAGTCACAAAGCTTTATTACAAGATATTGTCAGTTACTCATATTGTGTTTGAATTCTCAGTGTGATATATTTTAATTAAATATGTAGTAGCTATCTCTAATTTATTTGGCAAAATAGATTTTTGTGTGATTCTTGTGAAATATTGAAAATATTTAATTTTTTTGTCTATTATAATATTGATTTTTTTCAAATTTTTGCTTCCCTTGAAATTTTCCAATTCATCATTTCCAAAGGGAAATTTGAAACAATGTGGAATTATTACTTTTGAAAATGAAATTATTTTATATGGGCGTCATTCAGTTGTTTATGAGTCAAGACATTTGGAAGCAGATATTTCCAACAATGAAAAAAATTGAAAATCTGTTCTGGTTCAATTATCTCCTGATGATGTTAACTTGGCTAGCGAAACATGTGTTGTGAGATTTTGGTCTGTGAAAAGTGTTTTAATTGTATCTCAGAGGTTCCAATTCCACCTATTAGCATGTAACATCCTTTTTTGAATGTAAATATTGTGTTATTTTGCAATATGAATTCTATTTTTTGTTGCAGTTTTAAAATTATCTAAAATTATGTTGAAAACCATGTGATTTGATATACATTTGATGTCAACGTTTATTTCCAATAAAAGTTATTATTGTCAAAAATAATACAAAAAAATTGTCATAGTTTATTGAAATCTGTTTAAACACTGCATATGCTAATTAATTTGTCACCTTTGATATTTATTTTAGGTGCCCTTTTAGACTGTCCTGATAAAAATGGTTGTACTCCTCTTCACATTGCAGCACAATATGGCCATGATTTATTTGCTTATACTTTGATGACTTATGGGGCAAATGCGTCAAAAAAGGGGTGAGTAATTTCATGCTGACATATAAATGTTAAGGTGAAGTTGAGTTGATTGAACTACCAAATTGTTTCCTCTAATACTACTATTATATTTCGCTGCTCAGTGTTAATATTAACACTGTGTAGCTTTCAGTTTTGTTGTAAATTTAGTTATTATATGCAACATTTATTTCATTTAAATGCAAATAATCTATCTGTACCAGATGATTCAGATCTCCTTTCTCTCGATATCTGTCTTTGAATATTTGAGTCTTTGGTCTTTGTAAAATTCATATAATGGAGTATTAAAAGTGTATAGCACTCTTGACTTTTTTCAAAGAAGACATTTGTTATATCTGATGATGTGTTCATTGGTACAATGTTGAATATTTTTAGAATTTTAGATCATTACAAATATTTCAAATTGTGAAATATTCATTATATTCTGAACTTTAATAATTACCTTTTATCTAGTGTTTAGTCATAATGATGTGTATTATTATAAAAGTTGAAGGTTGATTTCTTTTCTTAGAGAATCTTGTTTCAAAAATTTGAATTGTTTACTAAGAAGCTCATTTCAGTTTTCAGAAGTATCATCAGAGGTTGCAATTGATGATAAACTTAATGAAATCTTGAGAAAATATATTACTTGATTACCTGACAAATGCCTCAATATCAAAATTTTAGTCAACTGCATCTCTCCTACTTGATAACATATATCCATATGTAGTGAAACATTACATGGTTGCTCTAACATATTTCTTTTTTTGAAATAAATCCACTGTAATCTTCTAATTTCCTCGGCAAATGTATTTGTCTTCTAGGTCTCTATGGCGGTAATTTTTCAATGGAAATGCAACTGTCCCAATTTCCTTGATATCTGCAATACTCCAAAAGTGTCGTTCTGTCTCGAAAATCGTTATCTGTCGCTAATTTCATTGGTGCCTCCTAGAGGTTCATTTGTGTTTCTGATATCAAAAGAATAAAATAAGATTTTTATTAGAACTTGCTTTTCATATTGTTCTCAATAACTCTGGTTCAATCTGACCAATTCATGTTGTTCGTCAAGAAACACATACATAACTTTTCCAATCTGATTTATAAATTTTTCTGGAATCCACATTTCTTCTCTTTGTGAATATATTTTGGCAAAAACCAATTGTCCAGCTGAAAAGTTATGTTTGTTGGTTCCATGCTTGTTATTGATTGTGTTTCCATTGTAAATATTTTAATTTATTGGTGTGTATTTTTGTTTGGAATTGTTTGAATGAATATTGAAATAACTTTTTCTGTATTTTCCCCTCTCTTCATTTTTTTTGAGGACTCGTTTGAAGGTATGCAGGATGAAGAAAACAGTTTTCTTCATCTCCTGAAGACTACAACTTGGTAGGTGAAATGCGCTTTAAGAAGAGTATTGCAGGTCTGCTGATTGGGAAAATGCCAAAGGTTCCAGTTTTACCTTTTTATCATTTTAGCTGTTACCTGTAACGAACTTAGAACTTACAGAGTTTCCAAGATGAACAGTCGCTATAATGAATTCTTCTTCAGATTAGGAGTTGTGGTCGATCAATGTAGATAGATCATCAGCGAATCCAAATGATGTCTTGGATAATATGATCTATTTATTTTTTCAATAGAGTATTCAATTTTCAGACAAAATTTATGAATACGACAAGTTATGAATAATGGGACTCTTCAGTGGTTTAAGTTACACAGTAAATTTCCTGGGTAAACTTTTCAGTTTATCCTTCATTACACTTCAGCAAATTTTCTGCTCATTCAGTTTTGTTTATTTTTCAGACTGTGGAAGGTTACATACCCAAAAACCAATAAGAAATACCCACTTTTCATTCTCAAAAACTTCATCATGTACTTGAAATGTGTTGATTTGACAAATTTCTAATATTTCTCCAATTGTCTATGTTGTACAACTTCCAGATGTCTAAAGAAACATTTGAAGTTTTATGTTCAGATGTTGTATTACCCATGTCAGTGCATTTTGTAGAAAAATTGTTGAAGAAAAGAGAAATGAAACTTTTTATGTTTTTTACCACTTTTATTTGTAACTAACGTTACTGCAGTTTCGTCCTATACGGACATTTTCAAATATACAATAAACTAATAATGATTCATAACATTAGCCATTATATACCACCCCTGTAGGTACTAATAGAGGTACTTGGCTTGATTGAGTACCAGAATTTACAGTTTACAATGCGGATCTGCCAATTTAAAAACCGGCGAGTAAACTAAATTGATTTGATCATTTAACAGGTTGCACCCGCATTGTATATGCTTGTGAATTTCCAAGGATTCTAAATAATTGAGTTTATAACCCTTCCTTGCATAGTGCAAAATTTCCGTATCGTTTAGATTCGGAAACTTGTAGTTGCCTGCCAAGAAATGATTTGAAAACGTCGAATCATTTTTTCCTAGTTTGAAGGACCTTTCATGTTCATTGACAATCTGCTGGAATTTGTTCATATAACGTGGTTAAGCAAAAAAATCGCTTCAAGATGCTTGCCTCATCAATAGTTAACATTGAACCATGGTACCAAGCAGCCAAATCCATTCATTATGTCATTCCGCCGTGCTTTATAATGGCACTCTTTCAGATATGATGCAAAAAGGAACACTTGCGGCTCTGTTATACTATAAAGAAACCTCACTAAGTTTTAAAGAGGTATTACAGCTTAGATGAATTGATTGGCCGAAACTATATAGTAGTGTTTCTCAATCAGAAATATATTCATATATACAATCAAAGTACATTGTGAGCTATATATTTGAAATGCCAACAAGAGAACTCCTAAAAATTGGATTCCTTTGAGAACCACCATTTTTGGTGAAATTCATTGTTTCAATATATTAATATTATAAATAAAATTCTTTCATGTAGAATTCACTTGTTCTAAATGATCTCTGATTCAGTATACATTGACCCATTTCAGTTATGAAGGTAGGACACCACTTCATATGTGCTGCCTCGCAGGATATGTGGAATGTGCCCGAAGGTTTGTACAATCTGGTGTTGATTTGAATGATCAAGATGAAACCGGTAAAACACCCACACATTGTGCTGCATATAAGGGGTAAGGCTTTGTTCTAATATAAGAACAAAATAAAAATTTTCTTTCCAGATCTTTTGAATGTCTTGACTTATTAGTGAGTAACGAGGCGGATTTTAAAATTGTGGACAATTTGCAACGTCTTCCAATACATTACGCTGCTTCACGGGGAAATGATCAATGTGTGTACACTTTAGTTGGAATAGGAAGTCCAATTAATGCCCCTGATGTTGAAGGGTGTACTCCACTTCATTTAGCAGCAGCTTATGACCACGAATGTAAATGCATTTTGTATCTTTTGAATCATAAAGCGGACACAAGCTTGAGAGATAATAGAGGTGAGATAGTTGAAAGAGGAAATTAGTGACCTTATAGGTGAGGTTAGAGTATTTTTACTGCCGATCAATATTTGAAAGTTTTCAAAATTGATTTCTGAGGGAAATTCGGGAAATAATTTCAGTACGATAATTCATTATATGAACATTCACTATTCATTTGTTCATTACAATAAATATTTTTTTGAAAATTTGTCCTAAATTTATAAAAATGAAATTTTTTGTTTCTCATTGATTAATTTCATTACATATATAGAAGTTGCTCAGCCCATTAACACCCAGCATGATTATATATTCAATTATTGAGGTTTGTTATTTGGGTTTGTATCTCAGTTTGTACTCTGATGGGGAAATAGAGCCATATATCGTTTCCTTAATATTCAGAAATGTAATAGAAAATATTGGTTATCTTTATTGAAAGTGTCATAAATATTCAAAAATTTCCTGGAAAATAATCTTTATCAATGAGGGTCAGTTTCTCAAAGAGTTTATGTTATGAACCCAATGTTTGGGTGAGTATAATTGAAATGTTTCTCAAATATTCCATTTAATTTCATGCTATGTTGATAAAGGAATGTACAATTGTAAACTCATACTGATAATTTTGAAGTGAATTGACATGTTTCCCCAGGTTTATGTGAAAATTAAGGATACAAATTTCGAATTGAAAGTTGAAATTTATATCAAGATTTGTAAAAAAAAAATGTTACATTCTAAAAAACTGATTGAAATCCAATTAAAAATTTTTGTATACTACGATTCCAAAATAGTAGGCACTAAATTCTCAAAGACCACTGATTTTTTGCCCTAATCTGTCTCTTGCAGTAGCTTACGAAAATTCTACTATAGTACATTCGGTATTATCTGAGAGTGAAAGAACTTCAAGAATGCAAACATGCCGGTACATCAAACACAGCAACATAGTCGTCTCAAGCAGGTGGCACTGCAATTCATCCACAAAGTCATTGAAATATTTCTACCCGCTATGCCCCTTGAGGACTCCGCTAAAGAGCCATCAAAATAGTGACTTGCTACAAAGAACTTCAAAAGAGTCATTTATCATATTGCGTTAAAAATAGTATTATTAGGCGTCAAACTGGGGTTATTAATATAAATTTTCCAATGATATATTCTGAATGAGCGAAGATAATTGAAATATCGTGAAAACTAATTTTATTTAAATATTTCATGTTGAGGACAATTCATATTTGAAATAGTTTGAATAGTTTGTATAGGATTGTTACCTTCTATAGGTTCGTTCCAACCAGCGTCAGAAACAGTTTCTTACAGTCAGGATTCTGTGCAGTAATGTGATTGCGTTCCAACGTGAGTTTCCAACCATTAGTAAACTATCAGTTTTCTGTTCCATCCAAGATTCAAACCTGTTCGAAATCTATCAGAATGGTTTGAGGATTATCTTCTAACCATCAATCTGACGCATGCGTATTCCGTATTACTGTTTTATGTTCATGCAACTTACAAACAACATAACCTGCAAAAATTGTTATAAAATAAATTATGTATTTGCTGGCGCAGGAAAAATTGGGAATTCTTTAAGTGAATCTATAATATGAACATCTTTAATTACACAAACTAATTATTGCGGTGACCTCCCAGTTCCATGTTGGTAAGTAAATAGAATAGAGATATAAAATACTGCAACCTTCTTTTACTCTCCAGATATACACTTGATTAGATTTATTTTTAAAGAATTGAAGGGGTTATATTTTTGGGAGTGACATTCGTTGTGGAATGTTTGAAATACAAACTGAGTAGAGAAAAGTATCTTCTGTATAATTCAGTGTTCATATAGAAGTACTTGTTTCGAAAGAATGTTTTTTTCTTTCGTGTAATTCAATGTTTATATGAAAGTAGCTGTTTCAGGAGGACATTCTTTCCGTTTGTGTCTGAAAGTTACTTCTTTGCATGATCTACACATCCATGATCTACACATTCAAATTGATTACTTCCTTCCTTTCTTTGGAAGATTCCCTCATCCCCTTTTTTGTATTAAGATGGAGTAGTAGAAAGCCAAAAACTTTCCCAAATTATTTTTAAAGGTTATGTTGAAATTCCATGCCAAACTTCAGTTGAACTATCAGCTGTTCCAATCAGAAATTTCAAATTAATCAGAAACCAATATTTACCAGACATGCGCGTTGTCAACGATTTACAAACAGTTGGAAATCTGTTTGTGACTCAAGGTTGGAACGAACCTTATAGATCTATAAAATAATCAGAATATTGAATTTAAAAATGAATAAATATGTTGAAAGGGCAAAGAATTACTGCATTTGAAAAATTATTTTAATTTGATTTGTCAGTAACTTGAATTTATAAAATTTGGCATATAAAAATAAACTTGTATTATCTGATGACGTTTTAAAGACTATCCATTTTCTTTATCCAACCTATGTAAATCAAAACATTATAATTTGTAGTTATAATTAGTATTTTGATGTAAATTAATTTGATACTATCATTATGGACACTGATAATATCAAATTGATCGTAGGTTTGGTAATGAAGATAATTAAAGTCTTCAACACGTCACCAGATAAGTATACGAATAGAATAGGTTTCCAGGGTGACAAATTTGAACATCTGAATTTTGGGTTGTACCGCACTCAAAGTTTTGCATTGTTCGACGTTTCGGCTTCGACTTTGAAGCCATTATCAAGAAGTAGAAAAGTGAGGCTGTACTGAGAGACACACTTTAGGGTTTTGATGTTCTGGTCTTGCCAAACCTTCGAGAAGGTATGACCCTTATTGACCCATGTTTCATCCAAATAAAAAATAGATTTACCCTGTGTTCTGGCTTTCTTTATTTCTCTTAGTTTCTTCTCCATTCTAGAATCTCTGATTTTTCTATCAACATGCTCTTTCTATCTTGTTTTCCAAAAGTAAAGTTCACCTCTTGTAATATCTTCCATAATCAAGTTATTATTATGTCAGGAAAAAAGTGTCTTCACGAATAACTGACAAAACTTTATTTAATGTAGGGATTTCATTTTTTATATAGAAAGAGTGTACAATTCTAATAAAATCCTTGATTTCTTCGTCGATAACCAAACACTTTTTGCCAGTGGATACTTTCGGGTCCAAAAAGCTGTTGTTTTCTTTGAGTTCCTTAAGGATTCCAAAAATTGTCAATCTATTGACACCGGTCATACTCGCGCATTTTTAAACTTCTTTTTATTTCGGGCAGATATTGTATTCTTAAAAAATTATAAACATTCATAACAATTTTTTTTTCATTTATATTTAATGCTCATAGTTTCGGACGCTTCACGTTTCCTGAACAATTAACTTCTAATGAAGAAAAGAGAAATGAAGCTTTCTATGTTTTTTAACACTTTTATTTGTAACTAACTTTACTGCAGTTTCGCATACAATACAATACACACAAAACGCATACAATAAACTTATTGTATAAGTTTGAAAATGTCCGTATAGGACGAAACTGCAGTAACGTTAGTTACAAATAAAAGTGGTAAAAAACATAGAAAGTTTCATTTCTCTTTTCTTCATTATGATCTCCTACCACGTAGTAATGGCTACATCCATCAATTTAATTAACTTTCATGTTTTATAGCTTTTTATTCAACAGTTTCTCGAAGTAAATTGAAGAATATCACTAAGACTAACCCCTTTACCGTGGCCTTTAAACTCCCAACAGAAAATAATGTTATATTTTCCTCTTGTGGAAAAAGCCAAGTCTGTCTTATTGAGGGTGGTAATTCAAAGGCCTATCTATTTATATCGCTGTCAAAAAAACCACGTTTTCTCAACCCCCTTCAACTAAATACTGTTGTAAATCATGCTCCAAATAAAATAACTCCGGCCGCCACTGGTATTCATAAACCAATTGTGACGTAGCTAAGAGTGCTCGAATGTTCGATGTTCGCAGCCGTTCTAGATGTGGCGAGAATAATGCTACCGGCTTTGATGGAATTCCGAGTAATTTTCTAGCGCTTTCGATTGCCGAATATAAACGCGATCCACTCGCTCATCGAGACAGTCAAGTGAAAGTAACACCATGGTACGCGGAGCGATCTAATAGGGCGATAGACGTTTGAATAATAGTTGAAGTTGTAGTTGTTGAAATGAAAGTGAAATAAAGTTAAGTTTGATTATTATACATTGTCGAAGTGTCGATTACGGCGAGATGGAAACACTTGAGAAAATGTTCGAGGTCTTGCAAGCGAGCCTGGCGGAGAATGAAAATCTTAGAAGAGAACAAGATTAACGCAGAAGAGAGGAAGATCGTAAATTATTGGAAAAACAGGAAAGAGATAGAGAGAACGATCGTAAATTACTGGTAAATATTCATGAAAAATGGGAAAAGCAGGAAAAAGACAATCAGATGTACCTTTATTTATTGAAAGATTTAAAATATTTCCAAGGGAGGTACAGGAATTTATTTAGGAGGATTTTGGAAGAGTATTTTAGGAAACAAAGGAGGGATTAGAAAAAGCAGTCGATAAGAAGCTTGAAGGGGTTGAAAGGAAATTTGAAGAGGAGTTTGGGAAAAAAAAACTTGAAGGAGTCGATAAAAAGTTTGAAGAGGTTTTTCGTAAACTTCGGAAAAAATCACCGGACAGGAAAAAATTAATGTGGAAAAATGCAAATCGGAAACGTCATCTCTCCCTTCTAACAGTAGTTTTAATAAAACTCCAACCTTCGATGGCGAATCTTCAGGATCAATTTATGACAGATAATTTCAGGCCGCTGCGGAAAATAATGGTTGAAAAAATTAAGAGAAAGCAACAGCTTTTATACAGGCACTATAAGGAAAGACCTCCGAAATCTTGCAAAATATCCCAGTGAATAAGCAGAAGGATTATGAAGCAGTTGAATCAGCTTTGAAGATCAGGTTCGGTAGTGAGCACCTACAACAAGTCTACTAAGCTCAACTGAAGGTGAGAACTTAAGGCCCATCAGAGTCTGCAGGAGTTTGGTGCTGAAGTAGAAAGGTTGGTAAGACTCGCTTACCCAGAAGCACCTGATATCATCACCCACTGGGTTAGCTTACATAGTTTCATCGACGAGGTTCGTGACACGGAGCTGTAGCAGTCGTTGAATATGCCCTAGAATTTGAAGCTGCTAAAAATGCTTCGCGACACCAACGGAAAGTTCTAGTGAAGGCCATCAATGAAAAGGAACAGTTCGACTAATGGTAGGTCTAAAGGAAAACTTTAAGAAACATTTGATGAATGGAACTGCACCCAAGGCAAGAGGCGGCCTAAACGCTATAACTGCGGCAGAGAAGAACAATTGAGGTGGGATTGTCAATCAGGTCCAGCATCCGACAAAAGAAGAGACTGGCGTTCTAGGTAACCCGAACTGGAGCGACGGGGTTAGGAAAACCATATTCAGCCTGCGTTAAGAGAAGTACCACGGCTGCTGCATCCCAAGCAGGATTTGTTGTGGTCAGAAGTCTCGTGAATGATAACAATCAGACTATTCCAGTAAGAATAATAAACCCTAATAATAACAGGGCGACTCTCAAGAAAGGGCAAGTCATAGGCACCTGCGAACTGATCGCGAAAATTGCTAGAATCGAGGAAGAAGTCCCTCTACACCGTGCTCAACAACCCGCAAAGGAACTCATTGACTCTTTCAAGAAGACCTGGAAACATCTGTCCGCCACCCGATTCGTAGTGGAAGAGAACGATATGTTTGTGAAGGGCAAAATCATTGGTCGAACGGATTTTGAAATTCAACATCGGAAAGGAAGGAGTAACAGAAATGCAGATAGCCTCCCAAAAATACTATGCCTGACATCCGGATGCAAATTTTGTCAACGCCAGGAGGACAAGGATATCCAATTACCAACAGAGGTGATAAGGTAGCAGGCAGATATTCCTTTGTGGACAGCTCTGATAGGGAGATAAACTCCACTACCTCCACTACCTTCGGGTTCCCTCTGACCCGGGGGGTAGCAACCTGTAAGAGTCCCTTGTCACCTGACCATGGTGAGGTACGGTCATTGTCAGCCTCTGAGGGTGACACTACCTTCATGAGGCAAAACATCATGGTAGCGCAGAAGAAAGATCCGGTACTGAAAACTGTAGGAGAATAGATCGACAAAGGAGTGAGGCCGGAATGGCAATATATCTCCAAAACGGCTAGCAGGAAAAGGGTTATTGGCTCCAATGGGACTCCATGTGCTTTCGAGATGACCTACTCACTCGGAAATGGGAAAGCCCGAATGGAAGAACTCACAAATTCCAGATAATCCTTCCAAAGACGAATATCCTTGAACAGCTCCACAATGGTTGCACTGGAGGGCATTTCGGAGTAAATAGAACTTAAGCGAGAGTGCGTGAGAGGTACTATTGGATCAATTGCCGTGGAGACGTGGAAGAGTGGTGTAAGCGCTGTGACCTGTGCTCTTCGAGAAAATGCCCGAAGACAAGGCAAAGAGGAAAGGTGAAGCATTACCTCAGTGAGTGCTTTTTCGAGATAATCGCAGTTGTCACTCTGGAACAACTTTCTATGACCACATCTTGTAACAAGTACCTCATGGTTGTGATGGACTATTCCAAATTACCTGAAGAGGCTAAACCGTGGCAGAAGCGCTGTTGCAGAACATAATTGCCAGACACGGAGTACCCCAGGAACTACACTCGGATCAGGGCCGCAACTTCGAATCGGATTTATGGAAGGAAATGATGAATGTGTTGGGAATGAAGAAGACAAGAACAACTGCTCTTCACCCACAGTCCGATGGAATGGTCGAGAGGCATAATCGCACCATCAATAACTACCTCTCTATGTTTGTCTCCGAAAACCAAAGAGACTAGGAAAATTTGGTTCATCTCTTTCTGTTGGCATACATGAGCTCCCAACATGACGCGACAGGTTACACCATCCATGTTGCTAACTGGCTGAGAATTGAAACTTCCCATAGATGTATTGTGTAGTAGCCCATCCGACGATTCTCATGAGGTACCTCTTTCAAAGTGAATGACCTGAAGGAGATATTGGAAATTGTACACAAATTTGTTAGAACCAAATGACAACTTTCCAGCGACAGGATGAAGATGTGTGTCTGTGTGTCTGTGGGGAGGTGGTTGAGGGTTGAGGGTTCGTGCTTCCATGCTGGCGTTCGTGCGTGTGCGCACGCGTGTGTGGTGTATTTTGACTTGCTTTAGAGAAGAAAGTATAGGTTGTAGTAGAATGACCGCCATCTGGCGATATTGATTATATCCCCTATATATGCTATTTTGAGATATCCTAAGAGATGGTTGTTGATAAAGGAGAAACGAATAGAATACCTGTATTCAAAAAGTAGGAAATATAGTAACTGGAGAATTATCTCGATATTTCTTTATAATGGGGGAAGCCCAAGCAGGGATTTCGGGATTTACTGAAGCGCGGCAGATTAAAATACAGGGGGATACCTTGTACCCGGTTAAGTACCTCCACCAAATATGAGCCCCATATATGAGGCCGCCCATGAAGGATAAAGGATCAGATTAGTAAAAAAAATTGATCATCAGAAATTCTCGAGCGCGTCAGATTAAGGTAGGGTGAGTTAATTACATGCTAAAAAGTGTATATTTCAGTAATCTGACAATTTGAGAGTGACGTAAAGAAAGGGAAGGGCAGCAAAGTTGTAAAAAAACGTCATCTCGACATTCTCGAGCGTAGCTAATTTTTTTCATTTTGAAGAAAATAATTCAAAGGTAAATAGCAAAAATTCGTCGAGAAAGTTTAATGCGTGATGCCTATATTTCCCTCTCCGCCTCTCCATTCCTTTTTCACTTTTTCTCTATCTATTACTCTCTCACTCCGTCCCCACTCTGAATTCTGTTGCCATGACGCCATCACAGCTGATCACAGAGACTACATCATGCAAACGATCAGATTAACATATCAACATTATTTAAAATACGTAGGACATTGATGGTATCAATATCTGACACGCTTGATTATGTCCATGCAAGTTTTTTTCACATATTTAATAATCTATAGCAGCTTCCCCCACCGATGAAAAGGTATATATTATATAACATTTTTTTCTTCTCTAAACTTTCCATCGAGTCAGTTGATTGCACCATATGGTTATTTGCACCTTAACCCTTTAACTATTTGCAGAGTAAAGATATTTTCTGTTGAAACCACTTTCCAACACCAAAATAAAAATTTCGCTCTCTCGACGGGCGTTTCCCTAACCAAGTTGGCGTCCTCAGGAGATCATTATGATATCCTGAGGACGCTAGAGGTTTCAGTACAAACTATCAAGAAAATATATTTTTGATAACAATTAAACATGCTTTAATGGGTTGAGTAATATCCACGACTGTTTAAAATTCAATATTCTATTTAAAAGTAATATTTCAGAATATGAATAAAATGTTATGAAAAATAATGGAGAGAATTTAAATTTGAATGGTGCCTACATGTAAGGTCCTTTTAATTGAAATTTTGAGGATTGATATTACTATTAGGATTCCAGAATGCTTCCTTGAATGTATTCAAAAACCACTTCATTGTGAGATTTTCACTAAACAGTTTTACAAAACCGCAACACGTGTTTCGCCATACAATGGCTTCTTCGGGCGTGTCTTTACTCCTTCCTTCCTCTAAATTGATACATTCAGTTGATACAACTGGAAGTTTATTGTTGTAAACTTAGAATTTCACATTGACTTTAGTTATAAAGAAAATATAAAATTTCAACTCCATAACTGCAACATAAAATCACTTTCAGATTCATGAAGCAAATGCCAAGAATAAAAACACTTGAATCTAGTACAATGGATTGTAATCGAATTTTTATTCTAACCTTACTAATATGCTTGAAAGAAACATTTTCAGAAAGTCAGCTATCATAAACTATTGATTTCTCCCAGGGTTCACTCCTCTACACTATGCAATCGCTGGTGGGAATGTTGAAGGCGTGCAAATGCTCTTAGATAATGAACAAAAGTTGCAAGAACAAAAGTGCCAAAATATCGATGGAATAAAAAGAATGATCAATAAATGTTCAGTTGATATTATGCCCCTGCATTTAGCAGTAAGTTGAATTATTTTTCAAAAGTTTCTAAACCAATTTCTTTTAATTTTCACAGGCAAAACTTGGTAACATAGAAATTCTTAGGATGATAATGCCACATTGTGAGGATGTAAATGTTAGGACGAATCAGGGTATAACTCCGCTAGTATTAGCAGCAAGAGAAGGTCATGTTCAGTGCGTACATTTCTTACTTCGTTTTGGTGCCAAAGTTGCCTTAGCAGATAATATTAACTTTATGACACCAGTTCACTACAGTGCCAAAAATGGTCATTCTCAATGTTTGACTATGTTGTTGCATAATAGTGAAGACCAAAACGTGGTTAATATGCTTGATAGGTCAGTATATTTTTCCTATATAAGTATTTGTCTTTTCATAATTTTACTCAAGAAATTAAGAGTGAATAGTTATTGTACAAACTATGTTTACTCAAGCGTGATATCCCATGTGCACCTAGTTTAATATGTTAAAATGTCTACAAATCCATGATTTTTTTGATTGAATAATTTGACAGAAAATTCAAAGAACTTTAGTTGAAAGATTTTACTTGAATTATTATACTCGAAAGCGTTTTTTTGATCTATTAAGCTTTTGTATGAATCCGCTAATATTAGCGACAAGAGAAGGTCACATTCAGTGCGTACATTTCTTTCTTTGTTTTGATGCTAAAGGTGTATGTTGGAATTATTTTCTGAAAAGGAAACGCAAAGTTCTGAATTCCAATTCTATTGATGTTGAAAATTGCACTAATTTTTGTGAAATTAATAACTTTCAACAGTTTCATTGTTTTTCTATATTGAAGGGGAGAATCAACTATATGTATTCACACATTTTTACGAAATATCAATTGAAGTAGCTTATAGCATTGTCAGTTTGACAAAAAGTAAAGAGTCTTACCAAAACTTGAATTGATATCTTCTTTTCAGATAATAATAAGAACAAAGAAATAATAAAAAATGCTTTTAATGCATTAATAAATATATCGTAAACTATATTTATATAGCGATTCCTAAAAACTAATGGAAAACTATTGGTTAGTCAAAATATGTAAACATGTAATTTGATAGTTGCATGGAACAAAGGTGCTTCCGGCAATGGGAAAATCTTTGTCTCCTTTCATGGCTAATATCTTCACGAGTAGATTTGAAATGGAAGAAAGGAAAGAGTTGGATTACTTTTTACGAACCTGGATCCTATACGTGGATGATGTATTTGCCATTTTCAATACGAATACGAGTAAAGTAGAGGATTTTGTACTTTGCCTCAACAACAGATTTTCAAATATAAAATTCACGTATGAAATTGAAAATGACGAAGAACTACCATTCCTGGATGTACTAGTTATTAAAAATGTCGATAAGGGCCTAGAGTTTGATGTATATAGAAAGAATACGAGCAAAAAAAGGTATGAGATTGAAAAAAAAGTTGTTAGGGGTATCCATGAAACATAGTGGCTAAATTAATTAGAACACAAAAATTTAGGGAGAATCTTCATAAAGTCTCGACTTTTTGAAAAGAAGAAGATTCAGAATTCATATGAACCCAAATGCACCAAGGGGTTGGTCCGAACATTCAAAAAATTAAATATTAGAGTAGCTTTCAAAACTGCATGTACACTTCAACAAGTGTTGGGCAGCCCGAATGACAAGACGTTAGAAAAAGAAAAGTCTGGGATTTACGAAATAAGCTGCGAGGATTGTGATAGAAAATATGGTGTTCAAACCAAACGGACTATATTAGCTCGCTACAAAGAATATGTTTCGCAGTATTGGTTTCGTAGACCTGAGAAATCTAGTATCGCTCAACATGCCATAGAGAACGATCACAGAATAAGTGAGAAATGTTTGAAATTGTTGAGATCGGTACATAACAACAGGTTTTCTGGATACCTTTGAAAGCTTGGAAATCGAAAAGTGTGGAATGCATTCCATGAATGCCGACAAAGGTTCTATTTTGAACACCCCTTTGTTTGGTCATATACGTAGGAATTCTAAATAAAAGAAACAGATGAATATTAGGGACAAAATGCAGGGTATAGTCATATAAAAAAATACATAACAAATTAGAGGTATTGAAAAAAGAGGGTTTAGGATAGGAACAATAACAGGTAGTAGTTGGGTACTACTAACCAGTAGTAGTTAGGTACTACTAAAACGTAGTAGTTAGGCCATCAGCATATAGAAACACTAACATAGTAGTGAAATTTAGTCATAATGATTTCCTGAGGACCCTAACTTGGTTAGCGAAACACGCGTCGAGAGACCGTATTCTGTTCTGGTGTTGGGAAAGTGTTTTCAATATATAAACATGTAATGTTTTTGGAGATAATAATATACATAATAAAAAAAAATCGAACGCCTAAGACAAATTGCTTTCTGTGACTCTTCGCAGCTTTCACTGCGAAGTAACTAGATGACAGCAGATTTCAATAGTTCTACATTATTCTTTAATACCAGATGAGTCAAAAACTGCCTTCGTGGTTCAGTGTACCACCACTGATGAGACCTTTGGTAGGTTCAAAAAGCGCTGTCTGTTGTTGGATAAGAAATGTTTTTTTTGGGCTATGGTTTCATCCAGTCACCTTGCAATGGAAGCTGCGATTTCTCATTTGGCAGTCGACGTTGAAGTTTGGGTTCGCCATATCACCCTGATAAAGCTTGTTTATTTTGGATAAACAAAGTTTGAATTTTCTGCCGATCACATAGATGACATCTTCGTAACGGGGGATGACCATGATTATTCTGATATATCTGTTAATTGAATTTCAATATTATATTGAATGAAGTTGATAGTAAAATTATTAATTTCTTATATTGAAAAAATGCAATTTTCGGGAATTTTCAATTTTTCATCACAAGAAATATTTGACTATTGGTCTATCTGAAAAATACATCTTGCTGCAATTAATAATAATAATAATATCATTTATTGCCCAACAGGTAACAACCAATTACAGGACATAATTAAATAAATCAGTACTGATAATAGATAAAATAAATTAACAAATCATGTTCATTCTTGACATGCTAAATGAATATAACATAACAATGATATATAACTTCGAATAGAAAACAAAAGAAAAAAACTGATATAACTATTCATTGCGCTACTTGGTAAGAGTGGTTATAATAACTGACTCTCTCACAACACAAACAAAGAAAAAACAGTTTTGATATCTCAAGAATTCCATTGCAACTTTTTTTATATGATTCGCCGAGCAAGTATTAATATCGCAAAAGCTGCATATTGAGTAGTAGTTTTCACACATATATTTAATTGGAGAATGCGATATTATGTTTGTTCGTGCTGCAGAGCAGTAAATTGTGCTATTGAAATAATAGGAATTCTATGTAACCTCGTTAATGTTAATTACAATAACAACAAGTTCCAGTTCGTACTGGAAAATCTGGCGTTAAATGAATCTATTGAAAACACTTTCCAAACACCAGAACAAAATTACGGTTTCTCGACGCGCGTTTCGCTAACCAAATTAGCGTCGTCAGGGGGTCATTGTCAGTCATTATCAATCATAATGATCTCCTGAGGACGCTAACTTGGTTAGCGAAACGCGCGTCGAGCGACCGTAATTTTCTTCTGGTGTTGGGAAAGTGTTTTCAATAGGTAGTTGTTATATTTAATTAACAAATAGGGAATTATGATTGTCACTTTTGAATCAGTACAAACAAAAACACACACACACAAACAGGTTTTTCTTTCTTTTAGTAAATAATTAAAACTTGACTTGTTCTTATGGCATAGAAGATACTTTTAGTTTTGTCTAGAGTATACATTATGTTTTACTACGAGGTACGTTTCTTATGTTTCTGAGATGACCTTTCTCCTTGTTTTCATAGTTTTACCTTGAAGATTTTTTTAATATAATAATGTGGAAATTATGTGTTTCAATTTATGATTACATCAATGGAGTGTATCAATTTTTTTTTTAATTTTTCGATATGTTACTGACCGGTATTAACATTTCAGACAACATCGGACTGCCCTAATGTTATCAGTTTCTGGGAACCATATTGATTGTGTTCAAACATTATTGAAATGTGGGGCTGATCCCAATATTGTAGATACCGATGAACATTCTTGCCTTTTCAGAGCTGTAAGTGTCATTTTATTAATTACTTTTCGGGTACCTATCTCATTCCTGTCATTTATTTAGGTAGTCAATGGGCATGATGGGGTTGTACAACTCCTTTTATCGAATAATGCTAAAGTACAGACTACAGATGTCAACGGGAAGACTGTGCTTCACCTTGCAGCAGCTTGCGGCCACTTTGTTTGCATGCAAATGATATTGGACTACATGACAGAAAATGAGGTAAAAGCGAAAGATAATCAACAATGTACTGCTTTACATTGGGCATGTTATAATGGTAAATGTGTCTACAGATGATTTTTTTTTGGTTCTAATTTTGTATTTTGTAGGTTATGCGAATTGTGTGGAGTACTTATTAGACAAGAATATTTTTAAGGAATTGGAGGAAAATTCATTTTCACCTGTTCACTGTGCTACGTAAGTCACATTGGAATAATCCCATTACGGTTTGGAGGATGTCAATTAGCTCACATAGTGAGCTAATTGACACCTTTTACCCTCAGGCTGTCGGGTTATCATTTTATTGTTGCTTTATGAATTTTTTCCATTCCTTTCTATCTCTAGTCAGTTTCTTTACTTCGTTCCATTGTTTATTTCTTCCTTGTAGAATCTTTCCTATCATGTCGTTTCAGGTTTTTTCAGGTCTTCCTCTGCTTCTCTAGTTTTGTGTTTTCGCTTCATAGATTTGTTTCACAGGTCTATTGTTTGGCATTCTCTGTATGTGTCCTCACCATCCTAATTGTTTTTGTTCTATAAATGAAATAATGTCTTCTTTGTCTAGTTCTTCTCTTATTCGTGTATTTCTTATCTTATCTCTCCTTGTCACTCCTATAATTCTCCTCAGGTATTTCATTTCTGTTGCTTGTATTCTACTTTTGATTTTTTTTGTTAATATCCAAGATTCACATTCATATGTTAATACTGGCCTGTTTTAGATATTTGTAGTTTTGTCTGTCTTGAAATTTCTCTTTTATTGATGAAGTTCTTATTCATTGTATAGTACAATTTTATGGTTTTCTCGATTCTGTTGTTAATTTCTGCTTCTTGTCTTCCTTTTTCGTCTATTGTTACGCCTAGATATTTGAAATCTTTTACTTGTTCTATTTTTTTATCATCTATCATTATATTTATTTCTTCTCCTCCTATGGTCATCACCTTGGTTTTATCTTTGTTTATTCTCATTTTTTTTCTCTTCAGTGTTTCATTTCATATTTTCATATTATGTTGTAATCATTCTTCATTTTCAGCTATCAGCATTATGTCATCGGAAAATGCTCCCTCAGCTATCTCTACTCTTTGCATATTTTTGTATCCAATGCACATTTTTTTGCTATTTCTATCACATTCCTTGATGATGTTGCCCATGAAAATGTTAAAAAGCATTGGGCTCAATGATCCACCTTGTCTCAAACCTTCTTTTGTTTTGAAACCTTCTGATTTCATGTTGTTCTTGATAACATAATTTCTATTATTTCTATATATGTTTTTAATCATATTTATGGTTTTTTCATCGATATTTCTATTTTTCAGACTCTCCCATAATTCTGTTCTTGGTACCATGTCGAAAGCTTTTTCTAGGTCTATGAATGCCAAATATATATTTTGGTTTTCTGATCTTCTCTTTTCTATTATTTGTTTTATTGTGAAGATGTGGTCTTGTGTGCTTCTTCCAGGCCTGAACCCACTTTGTGGTTCTGAGAGTTGTGACTCTATTTTATTCCTGAGTTTGTTGTTAATTATTCTTTCTATTATTTTTGTTATGGTATTCAGTAATGTAATCCCTCTATAATTATTGCAATTTTTGTAGTCTCCTTTTTTTTGTATCGGTGTTATAAGAGCTGTTCCCCATTCCTCTAATATAGTTTCTTTTTTCCATGCCTTATTGATTATTTCTAGTAGGCTCTTTCTTCCAGTTTCTCCTAAGTTTTTCATCATTTCTGATGTTATTTTGTCCTCTCCTGGTGCTTTCCCATTCTTCAATGTTTTAATTACTTCATCTAATTCTTGCATTTCTATCAATGGTTCGCTTTCGTTTAACTGGTTCCTTTCTGTTGTTTCTATTGATCCTTCTTCATTTCCTTGTCCTAGCAGTGACTGGAAATATTCTTTCCATCTCTTCATTATATCTATTTCGTTTGTAATTATTTCACCTTTTGAATTCTGATTTGTATGTCTTTTACGGGTTTATCTGATCTCATAGATTTTAGTGCTTTGTAGAATAGTTTTTGGTTACTTTTACTGTCTTCTTCTAGTTTATTACTGAATTCAATCCATGACATTTCTTTTGCTTTATTAACTAATGTTTTTACTTGTTTTCTTCGGTTTTTATATATTTCATACTGTTCTGTTGTATTATTGTTCAAGTATTTCTTCCATTGTATTTTTTTTTCTTTTATAGCCTCCTTTATGTCATCGTTCCACCATGATGTCTGTTTTCTATTATTATTTGTTTTGTAGGTGCCACATGTACTGATAGCTGTTTCTATGATAACATTTCTAAAAATGTTCCACGCTTCTTGTAATTCTGCTTTCTTAATGTCGTTGTATTTGTTTTCAAGTTTTTCGTTGGTAATATCTTTATATCTAGTAGCTACAGTTGTGTCTCTCATTTTATATGATCTGATCGTGATGTGTTCACCTTTCTTAGTCACCGTTTCTTGTTTCTTTTCTGTTGCGTCTCCTTTGATTTTTATTGTCAATAGGAAATGATCACTGTGTATTTCTGCTCCCCTTCGAACTCTAACATCTAGAACATTGTTCCTATTTTCTTTCTGTACCAGAATGTAATCAATTATTGATTTTTCTCCTCTGCTTTCTTGTACTCTTGTGAATTTATGTATGTTTTTGTGTTGGTAAAATGTATTTGTAATGATCAGGTTTTGTAATTGACAGTATTGAAGCATTCTCTTTCCATTGTCATTTCTGGTTTGTTCTCCATATTTTCCTACCATTGTTTTGTATATATGGTCCTGTTTTCCCACTCTGCTATTAAAATCTCCATAACTATTATTGTTCCTCTTGCATTTTTGATTATTTCTGTCAATTTTTCTTTCATTTTCATCTGGTCCGTATATTGCTATTATTGTACTCACTTCTTTATTTTGTTTTTCTATTTCTATGGTTATTATTCTGTCATTTATAGCTTCCCATTTTCTAATTTTCTCGGTTAAGTCTTTATGTATTATTAATCCAACTCCAGCTGATGCCCTTTGTTTTATTTGTACTCCGCTATATACTAATATGTGTCCGTTCTGTAATAGTATTTGTCCTGTCCCTTTTTTTTTCGTTTCGGTTATTGCTAGTATTTTCAATTTGTTCCTTTCAAATTCTTCTACTATTTCAATTTCTTTTCCATTGAAGCTTCTAGTGTTCCACTTTCCAAGTAACCATGCATTTTTTATTATTTTTATTGCCATTTCTCGTTATCATTTCATTTTTCCTAATATCGTAATCCGAATTCCTTGCCGTTTTCTTCTTTGTTCGATCTATGTTTCCTGTGTTCATTATCAGTTTTTTGTATTGATTGGTGTTTTCTTTTCTTTTTCTAGTTCGTTTCTTTCTAGGTTCCAGTACCATTTTTCTCCATCTATCTCTAGTTTTCTATATCCAATTTTCACATGTTTTCCTTCTTTTCTTTCTTCTTTAGCTTGATTTCGTATCTTTTTTTCTATTTCTCTTTGTTCTTTTGACATATCATCATTTACATATACCTTGTATTCATTGATCCTGCTGAGTTTGTTTTTATTTTTCATCACTTTCTGTTTTTCGTTTGAGTTTTCCAATTGTAGTTGACATATTTTATCACCTATTTTTCTGGCATTTCTTATTTTTAAATCGATGTCCATACTATTTTTAATGAATTTAGTCATTCTTTCTTTCAACTCCTCTTCATCATTTGTTGTGATTGGTAGTCCTTGTATAACCACATTATTTCTTCTCGTTTCTCTATCTATTTTGTCAAGTTTGCTATTGATTGTTTTAATTTCTTCTTTCAGTTTTTAATTTCATTTTTCAGTATGTCATTGTCCGTTTTGATTTTTATCATTTCATTTCTATATTCTTTTTGTTCTTCCCTTATTTGTTTGAGTTCCTTTTTCATATCCGTTTTCATTTCTTGAATCATTGTGATGATAGTTTCTAATTTGTCGTCTTCTTCTTTTTTCTTTCTTTCAGGTGTTCTGTTAATTTTTCTGCTTTTAGAGAATATATCTGGTAACTTTCCAGTATCTTTTTTCCTTTTCCCTCCATCTGTCATCGATTCTTCGTCGCTACTCATTTTGATGTTTCCTAAATCCGACTCTGTATTGTCTTTATGTACCGCGATAAGAAGGTTTCCCGAATCGACTTCTCAGAGGTCACTCACTTCTCAGTACAATGTTTATTTTATTATAGTCGTTCTATTCACTCTGTTCTTTAAAACTTAGTTCCAATCAATTTCACTCACTTATTTCCTTCTCTAGTATATCACTTATGAAATTGAAAGTGCTCGAAAGTCCCAAGATTTGGGTTTGTTTTCGGAGCGTTATAATTCACGTCACATTGTTTACTTGTTAGGGTACATAAATGTGCCGTAAGATTGTTTATCTTAAATCGTATAAATATTGTGGTAAAAAATTTTTTCAACAGCATATATTTTAATAATAGTAATCATAAAGATCTTTATTATTTTTCAGTTATATTTTTACATGTGAATTCAATAAATGGGGGAGATTCAGAATGGCAATCAGCACCGGAAGATGCTGACTGCTACCTTCTCTTTCACCTAACCTACCTGGCATAAAACCACTACATGGATGACGAAATACAAACATTATCAAAAACTATGTAATTTTTAAATATACAAGGCTATTCAAATTCGAGGCTATGTGTAGGGATCTTGTAAACGGTAAGAGATTTAGAGTTGTTTATTTTCGGAAACTAATGAATGATACCAAAAAACTGACTCTAGCTCTTGGTTCTGAAGATATAAGGGGAAACGAATAAATACTAATCTCTATTTTTGGTGTATCTCTGCAGAAAAATTCTAAATCTCTTCAAAATTCGTTACAGGAACTTTCAATCAACTATCGGAATATGTTCATGGAATTTTCATACAGGGTGCCGCCTAAGTCTGTATAGTACCCATAAATTTGTAACTTTGCAATAATTCATTCTCTTCTCTATCTCTTACCATTTACGAGATCCCAATGAATAACTCGAATTTATATTACATTATATGTAAAATTTATGAATCATATACATTGTGTCCAAGATCTTTCTTTAATGTAGTTTACAAGGTATCAGGTGGAAAAGTGACTGCGACAGCTGGTCCATAAATTATAAAGTCTATGTTCGCTGACTATTATTTCATTTAAAATAAACTTTACATGAACTCACCATCAAACAAACTGAGTTGACTACTTTGAAATAGAAAGAACTGGAATAAATGGACTGACTGAATTTATTGAATTAACCAAAGATCGGTTGCTCAAATATAGTGCAATAGAATTAATTTTGACTTTTGAGTTGAGATTTGAAGCGGATTTTACTTTATTGATTCCTACAGGTGGTCTAACTGACAACCACGTTACGCTATATATGGACACAGTTTATAAGAAAGTTAGGTAAATATTTTGAAAATACAAATGTTGATGGGGTAACTTGTCAAAAGTTTTTTAAGATGATCGTTCTTGCACTAAATAGAGTGTTGAATTTTTCAAAATACTGCAAAATTTTATATTTTTATAGTTGGCTGGAACGACGGTGAAAACCAATCAAGTACTGAAGAAATTAAGTTACTATATGCTCTCAAATCCAACAAATGAAATCTATTTAAATTTCTTTAATGTTAATGGTAAATGTGATACAGTTATATCAAGAACGTGTGACACATTTTCTATTTCAAAATCTACTCTTGAACACATTACAGAAAATTTCAAGAATTTTGTACCTGTCAAAGAAACAGCGCATCTAGACGTAGAACACAATATATGAAATCTGTTTAGTACAGTAGGTGTTAATGACAAATTTGGAGAAGATATTTTCAGGAAAAAAAACCCAGACTGCCCTTTGTATGTTGATCATGTCCAGGACAACGTTTAAGATTTTAAATAACATTCAGTGATACTTGATACGATATGAAGTAGAAGTATTTGTAGGGTTTATTTGCACCCCGAGAAAACCAAAGTGTAAGGAGCTCTTATGGTATAAACTTTACTTTTTCAATCTATGCAATCATGCACTTCTTTGATTGATACATCAACATCAACAGAACTATATCCTAACAAAAGTTCAAATGACATTTCCAGAAAACTAAATTCAACTTTAGAAAAATGCAGGTCCAATAATGAATTTGATGTTTGATTCAAGCTGACATTAATCTTGGTACAGAAAATATTTATATCGTTAATGTTCATAGTTTTATTATAATTCGCCTCTGATCACTATGCAATTATTTAAATAGTTTATTCATTCAACCCACTTTTTTTTGCAGATTTTCAGGGTCAGACAAGTGCCTAGAATTGTTAGTCAATTATTTTGGTGTCAAAGTTGTTCATTACAAAGATTGTAGAGGAAGAACGCCTTTACATTTAGCTGCTTTACATGGTCATATGGAATGTGCCAGGTATCTAATTGAGCAAGGTGCAGAAGTACAGGTGGTAGATGAGGAAGGGCGAACCCCTTTTATAGCTGCCGCACAATATGGACAAACGCAAATTATTGGTGAGTTGAATTTGATTAGATAATTTGGTGATTGATATATCGATTATAAAGCATCCCATTAAAGAAATTGCATATAGTACTTCTCTTCTCATTATTTTTTTTTTCAGAACTTTTGTTGACTTGTAACATTGACCGTGCCTCATGTGATAAACTTGGCAATACTGCTCTACATTGGGCGTGCCTAAAAAAACATAACCAGACTGCCTTATTAATTTTAGAAGACCCCCAGGGAGAAACTATTATCAGTATTGCAAATAATGATAATAAAACGTAAGTAATAAAATATTCGGCTATCAAATCTTTGCTAATATTTATAGAACACTGTGACATGTAATGCGAACTGGGTTTAACTAGTATTTGACACACATTCATTAGTGTCTTTTGTCATGAATACTGAGGATGTTAAGACGCTATTTTGGGAAACAACTCCACAGTTTTAGTTGAAGTTAATTGAAACCACAAATAAGCTGGATGCTCCTGTTGGAGACTCCGTTCGAATGTGCTGTTTTTTTCATCTTACACTCTCGACTAAACTTCATACATCACCAGAAGATGGCAAATGAGACTTTGCCGAAACGTTGTGGAAATAACCCTGGTGAGGATCAAAAACACAGAACACGGAGCTAAACTTGAAAAACCAGCGCATCATACTGTGCCCGTGAGAATCTTCGAGTTAACCTATAGAAATATATAGAAATGAACATCCCAGCCTGTGATTTTTATTTGTGTTCCTGATGGAACCTGTTATATATTGATGACATCCAGGCAAATGTTTTAGATTTTAAATAATATTCATAAGGTGTAGTTTATGAAAAATAATATTCAATTAAATTCGCCATCATTTAGGACAACTGTTGAAGTTGGTAATGGTACATGCAGAATATAAGCAGTTATTTGAAATTCAGCGTTGTATCTGATACTTCTATTTTGAATTCTGTCAATATTTCTCAAACGATCAATTTAGAATAATTGGACAAAAAATCCTCTGGTTTTATTTCGAAATGCAATACTACTGACAATATTTAAAGGTTGTAGGTAGGTATGGGTAAATGGGAGTAGAAAGATGTTACGTTGGTGTCCTCAACATTCACAATGAAACATGTTTTATATGACCATAATATTATAGAGTACTGGTTCTTAATTAAAGACCAATAATTTTGGTTTTCTTTCCTGTCGTTTTTACATCATCAAGGTATCTCGGAGAGGGAAGATATCTAGTTGACAGACGTGTAAACTGAATTTGAATGTCATATTGTTATAGGTTTTTGTCAGTTGTAATATTTGGAGGACTCATAAAGAAAATGTAGTTATTGAGTTACATTTCTGATTCACTAGCAGTATATTCATTTTACTTCATAAGATTGAATTGTGAAAATATTTTCCACAGGCCACTCCACATCTCTTCAAGAAATGGCTTAGTAGATGTAACAAGAGATTTGCTCAAGAAAGGCGCATCCATTTTAGCTGTTGACAATGAGGGATTGACACCTGCTCTCTGCTGTGCTCCAAATAATAACGTTGCACAATGTTTGGCCTTAATTTTACAATCACTGCCCCAATTTCTAGATCCCAACAGTACACAAAATGGTGAGATATGATTTTGAAATTATCATTGACTCTTACCAAACTGCTCTTTCCTTAGATTCACTGAACCTTGCCTCCTTTTATCACAACCTAACCCAAAATGAAAACACATGTAAATATAAAGATGAGTATTCCCAAACCATATCATCCCAGTTGAAAAACCTCCATTTTTCAAGCGGACAAAAGATGAGTCAAAAAAAAACATTAAGAAAATGCGCGACATTTCTGAACCTTGATGAAAACGAATCAAATTGTTTCATCAATGAAGATAAATTGGATATTTCGTGGGAACAAAGACGCCCTCCAGAAAAGTTGGGTTTCAGTTTACACAAATCTTACAGTGACATGTCAATTATTGCACCTAAACAATGGAAACAAGTTCACACTGGTAAAAAAAGACACTGTCGTGAATGTTACCGATTACAGCATCGTTGCGAGGAGTGCAGTTTGAGACTTCTCCTTAAGAAACATCTCACTGGAAGGACAACTCAAGAAGAATTTCAAAAGTTCATTTCGAAATGTCTCACTGAATCCTCTAAAGAGTATCACCTACTTTTCAACAGTACCTTGGATAGTATCAGTAAAGAACTCAATTTGTATGATAAACCATCCAAATTGCATAAAAAACGGACTAGTGAATCAATTGGCTATCATATGATGTTATTGAACAGAAACAAATCTTTAATAGGAATTGTCAAAAAGCATTCTCTCTCAACAAAAACAGATCAAGAGATGAGGATAAATATGATCCCTGTTTCTTGTTCTAAAATTGAAATAAATCCGTATGTCAGTGGAAATGACATAGAAATAACTCGATTTATATTAGACAAAAATGATCCTCTCCTACGAGCAGTCATTGAAAGTTGTTCTAGAGCTATAGAGATGAACTCTTCTTTTAAACCTTTGGACAGTGGTGTATCCAAGCCACTTGAAATGATACCACAGTTTCATTTGGAGACGTCAAAAAATCGAAATGAGAAGGCAAGTGAAAACAGAATTTTAACGCCTTTTCATTCTGAGTTGATTTCAATTTTTCCTGAAAAACAGAATTCTCAAGAATTGGTTTTGAATAGAGAACATGTTGGCATCCAAAGTGAGGACAAAATTAACACCTCTACTCATGAATGTGAAGATAATTTTGTGAGAAATAATTCATTAGTGTTTTCAGATAATTTTAATTCCGAGCGTTCACTAATGAAGAAGAAAAAATCAAAACCTGAAGTTGTCTGTAATATGATTTGATTCAATAAATCTTTGAATGTTTTCTTTTGTTTCAGAATCAAGGACATCACATTCTCCACTAAAAGACAACATTAATTTAGCACTAAAATTAACAATGTCAAACATATCTAATTTAAATGACGTCAAGTCTGAATCTAACTATTCTAGTGATAATGAGTTTTACTAATGTTTTTATCCTATCGGTTTTTTCAAGGATCTTGTTAAGACAGTCAAATCCCTGACTCCATCAGAATAAAAGAAACAATTTTCTAAGAGAAAGATTGCATGTGTTATTGGTTCATCGATTCAAAACTAAAAAAATGAATACATTTCCCCCTTGCCCAAAAAATTTTTCACAATTTTCACATTAGTCGCCTAATAGGCGACTAATGTAAATATTTGATCATTAGTTGAATTACAGAAGGACTGTAACTTAACCTTAAAATATTTTGTTCCAATCTAGATGATATCCAATACTACTTTTCATGGCCACTTGAAAGGAACTGACAAATTAAATTTAGTCAAGCATACTATTATAATATAAGAAAAGTTTTAGTTCTCTTCTGAAAATATAGTTTTCCGTTTTCTGTTAAAATTTGTTTTTCCGTTAACCAGCTGTTATCCCTCTACGAATGACAACTCTCAAAAGTTGAAATTTGTGCGACATAAGGACTAACGAGGTTTTAGCTTTCAACGTGTGATTCCTAATGCGGGTTAGACGATAGGAAGTGAAAATCGATCGTCCGGCCTTGCGGTTTGAACCACCAGTTCACACAGCGGTTGATTGAGTGAGTGAAGCAAACCACCCACGTTAACCCACTAGGCTACCTTCTGTTCGGTTCTGATTGTTACAGTATTTTAAGAGTTCTGCTTTGATCAATCAAATGAATAATTTTAGGAATATAGGTATTATATTTCAGTAAACGAAGATGTTTTTAAGTTTATTTGCAAATTTATAGGGATCAATGCAATTTAGAAATTTGGTGTTGAAGCTCAGTACTTACATTGTTTAAAAACTGTTAATAAATTTGAAATCTGATATATTGAAATTATTAGGAAGAGTTAATTGCAAAAAGAAAATAATTTCGAAAATAGGAAAAGAAATAAACAGTGACTATGAAATGAAAAATGAACTAGAGAAAGACTATAAAACATATAAAAATAAAAATACATTGATCAATTTAATAAAAATCAGTCGAAGTCAATATTACCAATATGAAATTGAAAAAAATATGAATCTCCTATGGAATAGATTGAAAAATCTGTAATGAGAAAAAATATTCAAGTTAAGTGAACTGTATCAAAAGTATCAAATGGATTTATGGATTACTACTGTGAGGTTGAAGAACAAAGTTAATTGAGTACCTGAATTTTGTTTACCTGTGACAATGTGGGTACATTAATTTGAAACCTGGTGACTAAACTAGTCCACACCTCAATATGTTATAGATCTCAGTCACCAGACCTTCACCATTTTAGCAAAACTAATTTTTTGCCAATAAATAAAGTGATATATAGTCAACAATGTAAATCTTGAAAGCGGAACTTTTTCAGATATTTCAGGAAATCTATCCTTCACACTTCACATTAAGAAAGTATGCTTCAATTTTAACATTCTGATGACTGATCACAGCTATTGATAGACAATATCGTCCTTAGACTGTGACAATATAATCATTTTGAATCCCACAATGGTTGAGAATTAATTATACTTAGTGTATCTATGTTTAACGTTTTTGCAAAAAATGTTGAAACAAAAACATTGCTGGCGGTGATTTATCTCATCTCCAGTTGAATTATTATTTTTTAAATTAATTATAGTATGAATGAGTCATGGAAAGTAGTATAAAGCTAACAATTTTAATCTCACATTTGATTTCTTTCGCTAACAGAAAGTTACAGTTATAACATGTTCTTTGATTAAATTACTTTCTTGCCAATTTACGTTGGAACTGATACGAATTAGATATACGTTAGATTTTGTTAAATTATATTCTCGTTAGCAAGTCTTTTGACAAGTCACAATCTTGAACAGACTTCATTGATGAAAAATAAAATTTTTGGAGTCAATTTGCTGATATTTTTCCACTGTATAATGAGAAATATTGTGAATTTTCATTTAGAGACCTGTCTGCGATTGTCTGCCAGAAAACTACTTCCCTGCCTAATATCACAATAGTCATTTTATAGATAGTTGATATAAATTAATTAAAATTAATCGAGTGATAACCTACAAAATGGTTTCAGACTATTACGACAGTGCAGGACAGATGCTATCTCAGACGAAGCTTTTATATATACAATGAAGCACTGATAAAGCCAGTTGAGTCTGCTAACTTGGTTATTCCGTCCTGTACTGAGAACGTGTAATGCTCCGAAACTGGTCTAGAGGTGATAATTCAATTGATTTTATAGTTGTCTTGGTGCTGAAAAAATGAGATGTCTTTGCAAGAATTTTCCCTATAAGGAAATTGCACAAATGTCTGTCAGATATAATTCAATGTTCATCTTGAGCCTGAGAAGTAGTTCCACATACATTTGCTAGGTCCTACTGTGTAGGAACGCTGGGAGAGGTGAATATGGCGAATTTTTATTTATGTGTATTTATGTTTCTCTCCTCGAAACAGTGATCAGACTACATATTTTGATATCCTAGTTGGATTTCAAATAACCAATGAAAAGTATTTTTCTGGTTGTGCAATACTATTCTAGTCACATAACATGACTTTTTTACATCATCATGGACAATCTTCAGTTATATGTATATCTTGTGTTCTTTTAAAGTCTCTACGCACTTTTTTATTCAATAGTAATAATTAATTTACTTTACATATTGAATCGTTGTAAATATTTTAATTGAATTATTTATTTTGTACAAACTGTAGCTATGTCAATTTGAAAAATATTCATTGGTTTTATATATTGTGGTGCTAAAGTGTATTGGTCAGTTACTCTTTCGCAATGGGTGATATTCAGAAATAGAATTATTGTGCCTTATTTTATTAGTCTGACTCTTATTCAATTTCTTCATTTTATTCATAACTAGATTGGAAAACGATCATGCCGCATTTACCCGATACAGGTAGGGGAATTGTAGATTTGTATTATTATAAAGTGGGGTAACTGGAAAAAGTAGTATATACCACAAGAGTATATGCACCATTAGTGAAGTTCTGGCACTTGCCATCCACTTGTTGTACTTATGACTTTTCTGTATAATAATATATTCATTTTTTGTTGCATTTTTAGAGGATTCGCGCATCCATTGTCCAAAAACAGATTTGAAATCTAAGAGATGATGAATGAATGGGTTCAAAAAATTACTACTACAAAAAATATCCAGATCCGTCAGTGAATAGAATTTCACTTAAATTGCATTTATCTTCTTTCAAATTTCGAATCTAACACTGAACAAGAAACATTAGCTTCTCTTTCATTAAAAATTTCACTTCAAGCTATTATATTCTTAGAAATTTGCAATAAATAATACATTCCTTCTTAATCAGTTACAATCGGTATCAGGTAGGGTAGGTTTTGGATTAGACTGCTGATAATGTAAAGATTTGTTTATTTTTCTGGTGATAATTGCAGAATATGATCCAGATACAAAAAAATATTGTAAACAAGTTTCAACTATTGAGTTATTTTTATCAGTTCTTTCAGTTGTGGTGATTTGGAAATGAGTTTTAAATGATGAAAAATAAAATACAGGCCCCTATGCGAAAGAGTTAGGTTAAAATCTTTGTTGTGCATTATTGAATTTATTTGTATCTGTTAAAATTTAGTCAATTATTATTAATTAGATAATCATAACCAGTTGTTTGAGAATCAATGGTATTACAAAAAGTAATTGTATCATATTTGATAAGCTGATATCTATGCCACAAAGTCATTTCGAACACTCGTGCATAAATAATCTCTGTGATGAATCTATTCTTCCAAAGAGATGATCAAAAATGCTTTTTATTCAGTTTTTTAACTAAATTATTATATTCAAGATGCCTCCATCGATGATATACTTTACAACTGAATCTGAAATATACAAGGCATATTTTTGTGAAAACAGTAATTTCTTATATTGATCAGCATTTGTTTTGTCAGATATATGTTCATTGAATAAAATAATTTTAAAATGACTTTTTGAAATCATTGTATTATTACCTTCACTCACTCGCTGCCAATAAGGAGCTATCAACTTTTTTCTCCAAATGGAAAGATAAGTCTTCTGACACTTCGTATGAAAGGCATTTCAATTCCCCATACAACGACAATCACTTTTTTGAGTTTCGATAACTCGATAACCGGTTGGGAGTTATTGATGATTGAATTTGGGACTAGGAATTTCGTAACTCCGCCACCCCATTTCAGATTTTTTGAAATAAATGTTCATTGGAAAGATAAATAAATTAGTAACATCTTTTGATATGAATAAGTGTTAATTGAAAGGGCATAAAACGATAGCATTTTATTTTAACCTCATTATTTGTCTTATACATAAAAGAATCGTTTAAGCAAATGTTCTCCTTGAACTCCCCGACAGTAAAACAGTGTATTTTCTAACTCATTCTTAACTTTCGATTTGATATAGCCTCAAAGGAAAAAATAGAGAGGAGTCAAGTCCGGTGAACGAGCAGGCCATTCCAACTGGCCACGCCTGCAATTCCACATACCGGGGTTAGCCTGATCCAACCAATCCTTTACAGGACTGAAAAATGTAAATGGCGCACCATCTTGTTGGAAAATAACTCGATTTTCGAATTCATCTCAATTGCTGGCCATAATTTATAGAATCTGTGGGAGAATGAGTTTTGAATAATTTACAAATATAAATCACCACTTAGATTTTCCTTTAGATATATTGGATAAACAATATAATTTTTCCAATATTCATGCCCAGAAATATATTTTCTCAGGAGTTTGAGTGTGACCTCGAAAAAAAAAAAATCTGTTTTTCCGTTAACCAGATCTCGCACCCCTACGAACGACATCCCTCAGAAGTCGAAACTTGTGCGAGCTAAGGATTAACGAGGTCTTACCTTTTAACGTGTGATTCCTAACAAGGGTTGAATGATAGCAAGTGAAAATCGATCGTTCAGACTAGGGCTTGAACCACCGACCAACAGGGCAGTCAATTCGAGTGAGTGAACAAAGCACCCACGTCAAACCGCCTGGCTACTGACCAGTTGGCATTTTCGGTTATGAAAGTGCATTCGTCACTAAAAAAATATATTTTGGTGTACGGTAAAAGCTCTTAAACAAACCATAACTATGCAATTATTCCTTGTGTTTCCATAACATTGGTATTATTAATGAGTTGAGAAATATAATATATAATTATTTCTGATTTGTGTACTAAATCTAAGCTAAGCACAATAACATATAACTGTTTTTCATCGCTTTTTTCATTGAAACAGCAATGACAAAAGCATCAGGTTTAAGATTTTATTTCTGCAATGACTCATTGGCTTGATGGAAGTTTTTCCAGAAAGTTCATCTGTTTCAAAATCTTCATTATCACTCAAAATCGAGGAAAAAAATAATGAATAAGTTTTGTCCTACATACAGTAACTATAATGATTTTAGTAAAAAAACAATATAATAAATAACTTTTGTGCTATAAATAGTAACTAACGATTTTAGTAGACAGTAACAAAGGTTACTTTTTGTCACCCCACGCATGAACAGAAGGAATAAAAAAAAATTGAAAAACCAAATGGAACAGCAAAGCATAGTTTGAGGTGTGTTTGAAAGTGTTTTGAATAAACAAATAAAAAAAATTTTTTGGTATCTTAAGTTAAGAATTTGTTTGGAATATACAGGGTGTCCGTGGACTTCCTCTTTTCCTCTCGGGAATGTATAGATGGGGTCAAAATATCACCAGTACTTCATATAACTTTTTTTCCTAAATGTCTTCGTAACCAAGTTACGGGCCCTCGAAGTTACAAAATGAAAAATGTTTTTCTTTGATAACTTTTCAAGTGAATATTCAAAATCATCCAAATTTTGGTAATTG